GGTGAGCCCGCACAGCCGGCAGATCCGCACGCAAACGCACCAAACCCCTTTTACCTCCTGTGCTCCTGGTTGGGCTGCACCACTCTCCCGATTTTCCCCATTTTCGCCATGGCCTCCTAGTAAAAGACAAAACAGAAACTGCAAAAGCCTGTTTCGATTTAAAATACTTTTTGACAAGAACAAGATGTTTCAAAAACCAATCGGAACATTACTGATGTATTTTGTTTCGGCTGAACAGGCCAGATGGCACAAAATACGTTCAATCCCATTATACAGTTGTCATGAGAACAAAGGCCTGCAGACCCCTCGGTAAACCAAAATCTGTTCCTCTTTCGCGCCGGGAGTCCGAGGCGGAACAGACTTATCTTTTGCTATTTACACTAACCAAAGGAAATGTTAAACACTGCATCCCCGGAGGGGAGATTTCTCAAATAAAATGATGCTTTACATGAGATCCTTTAATCATATTTTTAAAGCATCGGTTCCCCGCAGCAAGGGAGGACTCGGGCGCGCTCCAGCAGCTGTAGGTAACTCCAGAGTTCCCTTGGAGAGCCCGGGCTGCCCCCACATGAAGGTGCAAGAGACAGGCTTTGATCCTACTCTGCCAAGACAAAGTCGGATGGAGAGATCTCGCAGAACCCCCTGCAGAAGGGGCCTCTGGGACAGTCCTGTGGGGAAGGGACCAAATAATCTGGTCCCTTTCCTGATCCCTGTGAGATTCTGATTTTCTGCGGATTCTCCTGAGCAATCCCACTGGACTGAGACGCTAATCACCGATGCTGAAAATCAAGTTCCCAGGCGAGGGTGGAGGCAGCAGGCAACTTCCACTCAAAACAGCTTTCAGTGGCAGTTGTTTCCCAGGGAGTACTCAAGCAACAGCTTTCAGATGGAACAGTGTTAAACACAAACGATCAGGCTTCAAGAAGCAGGCCTGACTACACCTCTGTCCACGGTCAGGGTTTCTAAGCAGCCCCCTCAATCCGTTTTAATGCGAGCGCCTAAAGCACGGCACCGTGAGCGTCTCAGAACGACCCCTCGAGATCAGCCAGCCGGTGCTGCTGCTGGAAGCCACCCGGTCAAAGCCTACGGCTCCATTTTTCAAAGGGTTGGGTGATTTTATAGGCTGCAATTATCTGCTGTAGTGAAATCTCTGCTTCTCACTAACGCAGCATTTTACAGCTGAGGATCTACCAAAACTTTACAGCGTCCATGAGGAACGTAAGCGCAGTTTCACTAGCCCAGGACAGGCAGGGAGGCCCTGAGGATAGGCAAAATGACCAGCAGACCTTACATCTTCTCGTTTCTCATTTTCCCTGTCTTAAAGAAATAGGATCATGCCCTAAATGCTGGGAGGTAAGAGGGCTGCCGGTGAAGCCCGCAGGTGCTCTCTCCCGTGCACAGCAATGTTTCCTCAGCCAGGCAGAAAGCACCCGGGATGCCACCCGTGTGCCACAGCAGCAGGCGGTCCCAGCCCTGCCCGGCTTGGCTGAACCTGCAGTGGTACCTGGCATGGAGAACGGGAACACCTACTCCCTACCTTTGTCAACTTCAGGGACTTAATGCCGTACGAAATCATGGCTCTACCAAAGCAAAAGGCACTGGCAGTGGTGGCACGGTCAGGATTTACGCTGTTAGTGCTCCTCATAAAGCATCAGGGAATGTTTCTGTGCGCTCATACGCCTATACTCCATACGTGCCGAAGTTGACTGGACTTTGATTCTCCAAGAAACACCCTTGAAATAACACTTCCAATGAGATAGCGTGTTCTTTTCTCTGGGACATGTGAGCCTGCTGGCACAGAGGCTCTGCACACCAGCCAGATTAAAATACTGGCACAGAGAGGTTGGTACCTTTCCCAGTAAGAGAAATGGGCGTTTATTCCCTGTTCTTTAACAGGTGACACTTGCTCAAGCATTACTCCTGCTTACAATAGTCTGACTTTTACAACTCCCTTACATGGCCAGCTAGATTTAGAGGTTGCTCATAAAAATGAATGAAAACACAGGAAATCCCCCTCCTCAAAGTAAAAGACAATTCCCTCTGTTACAGCCAATACTGCTTTTCCAGATCCCTTTGTGTCTTACGGAAAACATACGGCAAAGGTAAAGCCCCTCGAAGCACTCTCACTCATGGAAAGCGTTGTCTCGCATTCTGCTCCCTGTTTTATACCTCCTTTGGAATTCCCTTGGAGATGCTGCACCAGAAGTAAACCAAGACATCTAAAGGGTCTAAATGTCGCAGACAAATCCACTTTGTTTTCAGATGTAACAAGAAATGAAAGGGAGAGCCCAGCTTTGCCATCCACCCGCTCCATGCTCACACGGGGTCTGCCTGCTGCTGCCCCGTTCTGGGCAGCATTAAGGGAACAGGACAAACAGGACATGCACTGCTTCTGCCCTAAGTACTGTACACATCATGTTCTGCTCTACTCTGGAGCCTCTTACGACTTCCAGTGCTGAAACACGCATTCCCGCTGCTTTGGGAAACAAGCCAGCCTTTGGAGATAAACACATCTTCAGACAGGTTTTATTTTTACGCTGTTACTCATCGAACTGCAAGTCTCCTCAGGCTGGATCACGACAACAGCCACCAGCACCAGCTCCAGCAGGCGTGGATGGTGCGAGGGCAGCCCTGGTCAGCTCGGCTGTCCCGCTGCAGCCCTGGCCCTGGCTGGGGGGCCCTCCCGCCGTACCCCATCACCACGCAGGACACCTGCGACACCCCGGCTCTGGGACCAAGCGCTTTGCAGCAGCGGCCCTCAAAGGGTGAAACCGTCTCCCTGGGCCTGCTGAAAGCTGCCGCTCCCTGAGGCCTCCCCAGGCCTGAAATCCCTGGCACACAGGCCCCGTCCTCTGATGGGCAGCCAGGGAGGGAGCCGCTGCTCCGAGTTTAGGGTTGGACTCGATGATCTCAAGGGTCTTCTCCAACCTAAAACCTGATTCCATGAGTGGGGGCGACAGCAGGGCAGCTAGAGAGGTCCCTAAGGGAAAACCAGCCCTTCAAGCCCTGATCTAAACTAGGACGGGGGCCTGGCTGTTGCTTATCTTCTGCTGGTGCACCCAGGTACCCACGTTCAGCTATGGAGGAAGATGCCGTGTCTTTCCAGTTTATAAGGTAAAATACTTTCGTCCTTGAGAATCCACAGCATTAAGGTCTCACAGCAACTACCACTGTAATGTGGAATAACACATTAAAAAAATACACAGCCGGCAATTTTCAACAACTCACTCATTCTAGGTTGCTCAAAATATCCCAAATTGATTCCCTCTCCTAATTTGCATTTCCGTTGTGTGTTTTTTTGGTTTTTAAAGTCAGTTTGGTCATTGTTAGTTTGAACAAAAACTTTACTCCCAGAGGAGAGTCTTTTCAACAATCTTCTGGGGACAAAGAGGAACAGAACATTGAAAATATGAATTTATAATGAAATTGGAAACAAAGGAACATTAGAATCGCATTACTGAATCAGATCAACCTTGTGCACTTTTCAGTCTCCAACAAAGCCTTAAATATAGCAAAGTGATAATACTGCTGTTCAGAAATAGTTCGTTTGAGGGTTGACATCCAAATCCATAATTCCAGTCACCAAGAATTTCACAATCTTAATTTGAATGACGCTCTATCTTCTTTGTTTGCCAGTCTAGACAGCACAATGAATACAGTGATTTAGACACAATGAATTCTCTCTTAAAACAAAATATTTTGTAAAATTGCTTTTTAATAATTTCTTTTCTCTCTTTCCATAAAGGCTATGCTATAAATAAACCCTGAAAGTTCGCATTTGATCATCGTTTCTAAAGGCTGGGCAAGAGGCAAGTGAAGGGTTTACACAGAAAAAAAGAGAGGCACTGTGGAGCAGAAATAAAGGGATGCATTCATGATTTCTAACCTTTTGTTAGAGTGTCAAAGCTGAGACAGATACAAGCCAGTAAACACGCTGCTTACCATGGAGAGAGTTAGACGAAGGGGTTACCCTGCCCAGGACAGAAGGCACAGGCCCAGGCAACCAAGTTCTCCAAGACTCACCAGGATTTTGGAACAAGGTGCCATTTTGCTTCTGGAAGGGTGACCCAGCTGGGAAGATCAGCAGCCAAACAAACTCACCCGGTACCACTGGCTCAGTTCTGCTCTTCAGCATGATCTGGGGTGGGGGCAAAGTTTCAGACACTCGGTGTAGTCTTAGCAGGGAGCAGATCTCCCAGGAAAACCCTACTTGGAACTCAGGGAAGACCCTATCTCATATGGAAACCTCATTTTGGCATAGCCTACAAAAGCTGGAAATGTCAACCATTGTCCCTTTAGTAATTGAAAGGAAAAGGTTTTTAGCCCAGCACTATCCTGCTCATCCGCCTAAAGCAGCCCACCTCCCTTGGGACTACAGAGGGAGCCGAGGAAGATTAGCCCACTTGAGAAGAGACCCCAGTTCTGATTTTCAATAGTGACTCAAGGACTTGTGTGGCTGAATATGATTGAAAACTAATGGGATGTAGGCCCTTAAAACCACACATCAAATGAGAAACCATAGAATCAAAGAAGGTTTTGGGTTGGAAGGGACCTAAAAGACCCCCTAGTTCCACCCCCCCTGCCATGGGCAGGGACACCTTCCACTAGACCAGGTTGCTCCAAGCCTCATCCAGCCTGGCCTTGGACACTACCAGGGTTGGGGCATCCAAATCAGATTTAGGGATGTCAGTCTTAGGTTAGCGTGCTGGTAAAACAAGTAACAAAATCCTACTGAAATTAATGAGCTGGGAACACCAGTGCTGTTAAGAATTTGGCCTTTTGCTTTACTTAGGCTCTTCAAAAATTGTATCCAAAGTTAAATGGATGAGGCATTTGAGCACAATTTCCCAGCTGTGTTCTCCCCACTTACTCATTTTGATAATCCCAAGAAATGTTTGGACCTTTACCTAGCGTAGTTATTAACACTGAAAACAACCACGTATCATCTAAAGTTTTACTGTGAAGTGTCAGTGGCCGAAAGCAATTGGCCTGCGCACACGAACAGCAAAGCTCACCAAATTGCGTGGGTGTACCATGCTGCAGTTACAGCCACAGCGTGCCGGCTACCTGGAGGAAGGATCCTTAGACAATATGAAAACCAGGAGGGGTTTTAATT